CTCTCTCTCTCTCTCTCTCTCTACTATATATATATATATATATATATAAACCGTACAAATATATATGTACGGTTTTAGAGGTGTTTATTGTGCAACGCATCACAACGCAGCGAAACGCTACGAATGTGGAAGTAACTACGCCACCGCGGGGCAAAAAATTCAAGGGTCTGTGACCTGATTAAGACTTCAAATTATTGAAAAATATTGTGTAAAAATGTCATAGGGACAAGTGTTAAGAAAACAAAATAAATATAATGCCCTTTATCAAATATCACTTGACAGTTGTTCAAGTCAAAATTTGATTTGTGACATTTTCCTTTAGTCGCAGCCAATTTGCAATTAATACAAAATCCTACAGAATCCTGAAGAAGAAATATTTGTACAAAGGTCATTCTACACAACACGATTGAAAGACAATGTTCATTGCTCTTTCTTTTTTCATTCCCGTTGTGTCAAATTACTTTTATGTGCTCTAGCATACATTATGTCCCTGTCTTTGCCTGTTGGTGTTTATTTTGTTATATCTAAGTTTTTCTTACTTTATTTAGTTTTTATTTGTTAGCCTCATGATTAATGCTAATTAAGTTTAAAGGAGGACATTGTACAAGCCTTACAGGCTTTTTTCCTCCTCCCGCACACTGTTTTTATTTATTTCTTTGCTTTGTATTTTTGATGGTTTCATTTGTGCAAAAAATAACAAATGATAAATAAATAGAGATAGATAAAGATAATATGATCTACCGCTACCTAGTGGATAGTGAGTTTAGAAGTTAGAACAGTGATGTGACTAACTTTGTCTCTCCTCCCGCGAACGCAGGATCAGGGTCTCGGCTGTTGTCACAGTTCCCCCCGTGCAGACAGGAACACATGTACACCACGGGCCAGTACTGCGCTGACGTGTTCTCCGAGCCAAATACGTCCACTCTCAGCTTGAATGGTGCGTCAGAATTGACCTGAGAATAGCATGAGAAGGACATGAAAAGTGAATGGACGATCTGGCACTGGATAAGAGTTAGGAACGTTGACTTTCTTCTGGCAATACTTAAGTTCTAGAGCAAGGTGCTGACCTTCTGAGTAACTGTTAAACGTGCATACAAGTCTTGTAATGTTATTGGTGTATCACCTCTTATACGTCCCTATTTTGTCGGTATAATTATACAGCTATTAAATCATTTTTGTCAATTTTAAAGAGAAGGTTACACTTGGTCAAGTAGGTATACCTTTCTAACAATTTCTTAACTGTACTGTCACGTTCGTTGTAAGTCAATTTTGATGCCATTACTGACCATTAAGCTTAAGGGGGATGTGGCAAAAGTAACCACCGGGAAGAATCTACATGTAAATAGGCAGTCTTTTGAACTTTGATTGTTTATGCTGAACACAAGAAACACAATGCCCAAAAAGCCCTCTGGTTGCAACTCGTGCCCTTTTAAATGAATCTAAGTCGAACAGATGTTGATTCATTCCATTTACCTGCCAGGTAACCGTTGCCACGTCCCCATCAGCAGTCAGATCTACACTAGTGTTCGGCACGTCCTCCCCGAGACTGAACACGAGTGGACCGTTGTTCGGATCTGAAGCGTTGATGCGGATAGTCACTGTGCTGTTAACAGTGGCGTAAACTGCGTCCGGCCCGCTTACAGTCGGGGGGAAGCGATCTGAGAGTGGGGAAGAAGACCATTTAAAATCGGTAATGTATTTCCTTTTTCATGTAAACGTATGTTTTATGTTCTTCAGATTTTATACCGTTTTGTTAAATGAACCAAAGAAATCCCACTTTTCCTTGCAGATATCTTGTCAACGGAGAAGAAAGTTCAAGAGACTTATTTTGAACCAAAAGCGTCAAGAATGTTTAAAGCGTCCAATATTGTTCCTTACTTATTACACATACAGTGTATAACATGTCTACTGGCATACACCCCAGATATACAGCTATGACCGAGGTAAAATTCCTAATGAGATAAAACTAATAAATAATTGACAATGCAACTGACTTAAATATCAATCAATCAACTGTGCAACGACTACAATGAACATGACAAATATGTAAACAGTGCTATATACCTCGTCTGGTATGTACAAGTACGCTGTTCACAGTTACCAAGAGCTACGTACTTTTTTTAAGTACGAGTTTAATAATCAAAGCTAGCAAGGTAACATTTGCAAAGCAAATGCATAATGTTTACCTTCGCATATAGTCTGCTCTGTTACTTTTTACTCAAGTATCTTTCTCAAACATATGGTCAGACAGGAGTACAAATAACCTCTACTATAAAATTGCAACATTATGTAACCCAACACCAGTTACCGTGCTGCGAGACGTCAACAAATCAGGCCATTGACCAGGTCAGAGGTCAGTCTTTGGAACGGAAAAAGACGAGAAAGTGTAGAAAAACAACATGTTTCCCTTTGGTTAACATTAATGACTTACCACGAGCAGCCGTCTGACTCGCAAACTCCTCCTTTCCCTCGACAGTGATGACCGCCACCTCCAGGTCTCCCGTCTGGCTCACGTCGAACAGGCACTCCGTGTCATTGTCGCAGATCTCACGCGCTCTGGTCTCCAATTCCGGGTCGTCGAAGACCAGTTCGTCTGTGTACTTGGGCTGGTAGTCGGCGGAAGTAAAACTGTTCACGTCTTCTCCATCCTTGTAGATAAATAAGGACTTCTTGGGTCCATCGTCTGCCGTGACCTTCCCTAGACATAAAAAAAAAACTCAATAACATGTGATTACGTTTCTTTTAATCATTTTACCTGTGCACTGTGTGCTGTGGCTGAAAATTTTCCTTGCAATTTGGTTTGGTAAAGAAAGATTAAAAAAAATATTTCTAATGATTAATCTTTGCTTGTTACTAACCTGAGATAAAAGAATAATTTGTGGGAGATCAGTTATTCTTACATGAATTTCCGAAACCATACAGCTCCTGTTCCGTAGACTCAGCTGAGAACACGGTTCCGTTGAACGCCTCGAAGTCGTTACCCGGGTCTCCGTCCCACCGGCCCAGCAGACCCCGCACCTTCCCGCGGAACTCAGGAGGGGCCGAGAACTCCACGGCCAGCATGCCCTGGGGCAACATGGAACAATGGCACTCAGGTGGGGTCGTGTGGCGTAGCGTGTTTGGCTTAGGACCAGGAGATTCCGCGTTCGAATCACACCCATTTCACCGATCTTGTGCCTTTGGGAAATGCACTTTACACGACTTTACTCACTTCACTCAGGTTGAAATGAGTACCTAGCTTCGGTTAGGGACGTCCCTCGAAAATGACGTTAAATGGAGGTAGCGTGTTTGGGAAGAGCCACACCCCACGCAAGTTAAAGAGCCAACCACACTTGTCGATGTGAGTGGTTCAAACCTTACAGTCCGGTCTTATATCTATTACGCAACTTGTCCTTACATGTATAAAACTGGTGTGTTACGCCTAAAGGCGGTTTAACGGTTATGCGACGCAAACAAAAGATATGGCAATGAGACTTCATCCCCTAACCCATATTGTTTTTCGTCCCTTTGCTTTGCGTCTCTCACAGACAAAAATATCAGCACTGCAAGTGGTGCACGATGTGTGCTTTGGGAAGCGTGCAAAGTTACCGTACACAGAAAATCAGACAGAAAGACAGAGACACTCACATATGCGCAGACATACACACGCACGCACACAAGCAAACACACACAGAAACACACATGCACACAAACAGCCATAACACTATAACCAAATCAACACTTTTATATAAATATTTTTTACCTTCTTTGCGGAGACTTTGACAGCCACCCCACTGAGGAAGACGACGAGAACAGAGTTGTCTGAGGGCTTAAGGATGACGGCGTTGTCTCCGACCTCTATCTCTTCATTGTTCTTAAAAACAGAGGTGTCCGCCAAACTGCCGTTTACGTAGAGATCCAGGCTGGAGTTGCCGAGTATGTTTGTCTGTATGGGGAGTTTTCCCCTCTCACTAATGACAACTGCAGAGATGACAGTTGCGTGGCTGCTTCCTGTCGATGTTTGTGCACAAAATAAGGGTTATCGCTGATCTAATTTGTGACCGTGGACTTGTTCTATCCATACACAAGCAGATAAAGCCTCAAACCTCAGTAAAATAACATAACAAAAAAACAGCAAATGGGTGGACATGGATCAATAAATGACAAGACGAACATGTTTTGTAGGCTATGTATGAGTTAAGCTAATAGAAACCGTTTAGTATCAATAACGTATAACAATGTACATTGACATTTTCACATTATGGGTGTGTCCTCAAAGAAAGTTGTTTAAGCATTTGATCAGTGCTAGAAATCTGATAATGTGCTCAGTTAGCTAATCTGCTGCTACAAACCTGGCGCAAGAGTTGTTCGGCCTTGAACCTGGTACAGCCCGTTGTCCACGTCGACGATGACGTATTCCCCCAGCCCGTTGAAGGTGTAGCTGACGCCGTCCATGGTTGTGAAGTGGGGATCCCAGCGGAACCACGTCCAGCCTGGAGACAAAATTGCAAAAAAATAAAGAAACATCGTAGCAAATATTAAGAGGACAGGCACTCATCGACATACAATAGCCTTCTTTTCAGACTTGCGGCAGCGTTAATTTTTTTTTTTGGGG